AAAAAAATAATGATAATAATAGTAACAAAATAAAAAGTACAGGAAATGGAATTCAATATACATTAGAAAATCAAACCACGAAATATCATTTGACACTCATTAGAAGGGCTAATCTGAAAGATCAAATGTTGTTGAGGCTGTAAAACAACTGGAACTCCAATATGTTGCTGATGGGAGTGTAAAATGGTACTACCACATTGGAAAACTCTGGTAGTTTCTTATAGAATTAAACACATATCTACCATATGACCCAGCAATTCTAACTCCTAGGTATTTACCTAAGCGAAATGAAAATGTATTTCTTTATCTATTTTTATTTTTATAAAATAGATAATGTATTTCTGCTGAATGTATTTGATTAAAAAAATTAACTTTCCACACTACAAAAACATAGAAAGTGTATTTCTACCAAAATCTTGTACAATAATGTGCATAACAACCTTATTCATAACAGCCAAAACCTAAAAACAATGCAAATTCCAACAAAAGGAGAAAGGGTAAACAAATTGTGACTTATTCACACAATGTCACACTACCTAGGTGATAAAAAAGGGATCAACTACTGAGGCACATAACATGAACATACCTTAAAGCCATTATGTTGAGTAAATAAGGCAAGAAGTAAAATAGGGCCTCCTGTACAATACTGCTTAATCAAGTCTAAGAACAACAAAATTCGTTTATATTTGTAAAAATCAGAAGGTGACAATGGAGTGAGGGGGAGTGGGAACTGACTGAAAAACAGCACATGGGAATTTTTCGGGAAGATGAAAATGTGCTATATACTGACTAGGTAATAGTCATATGGATGTATACACTTGTCAAAACTCACTGAACTTAAGATATGGACAACTTATTGTATGTGAACTATACCTCAAAAAATGAGAGAGAAAGAGAAAAGAATTTGACATGTAAGTAGTTTTCAATATATATTAATATCCTTTTCTACTCCCGTTCCAGAAACGCAGTGTAGTTAAAAACTGGGGGGCCAAACCTAATTTCACTTCTCAAAAATTGATTCAAAAATATGGGACAACCACCTGCAAATGCCTAATTTTAAAATGGTTCATTTAATATATATGACTTAGCTGGTAACAGTTAGTTCATGGTCACATCAAATGTGTCAAAATTGGAGTTGGCCTTTTATTTCTTTATTATACAATATACAATGGAGTAGAAGGAGCATTAAACTGGCAACTGGCCTTCTATTACTGATTCCAGTATTTAACAGCTTTGTGATTTTTGATGCATCAATATACTTCCAAGAGTTTCAAGTTCCTTTATTTGTAAAAAGGGAGATAGGCCGGGCGCGGTGGCTCACATCTGTAATTCCAGCACGTTGGGAGGCTAAGGCGGGCAGATCATGAAGTCAAGAGATCGAGACCATCCTGGCCAACATGGTAAAACACCGTCTCTACTAAAAATACAAAAATTAGCTAGGTGTGGTGGCACGCACCTGTAGTCCCAGCTACTCGGGAGACTGAGACAGGAGAATCACTTGAACCGGGAGGCAGAGGTTTCAGTGAGCCGAGATTACACTACTGCACTCCAACTTGGTGAGAGAGCAAGACTCCATCTCAAGAAAAAAAAAAGGAGATAATGATAACTTCCTTACAGACTACTGTGAGGATCAAACAAAAACGTGTGTGTGTGTGTGAATGAATTAAAGCACCCTGGACACCGTAATGGGAAAGTATTCTCTAACACAGTAGTAGAAACAAGCAGATAAATTAACTAAATAACCTGCTTAAATAGTCTTTCTTTTATTAACTATTGAATGTATGAATACGTACTGTCCATTTCACTTCCGGGCGAGCAAGTGGAATAAATCGTCCATCAAACATGTGAGAAAATGGCCCATGACCTTAAAAACAAAAGCAGCCTTAGAATAAGAAGAACATCTGTAAATCGACAAAAACTGATTTTTTTTTTTTTTTTTTTGAGACAGTTTCACTCTTGTTGCCCAGGCTGGAGTGCAATGGTGCGATCTTGGGTTACCACAACCTCTGCTTCCCGGGTTCAAGCAATTCTCCTGCCTCAGTCTCCCAAGTAGCTGGGATTACAGGCATGTACCACAATACCTGGTTAATTTTCTATTTTAAGTAGAGATAGGGTTTTACCATGTTGGTCAGGCCGGTCTTGAACTCCTGACTTCAGGGGATCCGCCCGCCTTGGCCTCCCAAAATGCTGGGATTATAGGCATGAGCCACTGCACCCAGCCAAAAACTAAATTCTTTAATCTTTTTAGTTTACCTTGAATAGCAACAGAAATTAATAATCTAAAAATACAATCACAAAAAGGGATAAATCCTTCCTTCCTATTTCTAAAACAAGAGAACAGGAAGCCTTAAACTCCTGTCCTCAAGTCATCCTGCCTCAGCCACCTGAATAGCTGGGACTAGAGGCATGCACCACCATGCAGGGCTTGATAAATGGATAATTTTGTATAACTAAAAAGAATGTTAATGCCAAAAACTTATTTGAAATCTTCGGATTGAAAATATTTGGATTAAGCCCGGCGCGGTGGCTCACGCCTATAATCCCAGCACTTTGGGAGGCCGAGGCGGGTGGATCACGAGGTCAAGAGATCGAGACCATCCTGGTCAACATGGTGA